CATATATATATATATATATATATATATATACCCTTTAAAATCGAATAAATTTATATACATTTGTAAACTTATTATTTATTCATGTATATATATATATTTATAGTATATATATAACATTGTAAATATATAACTATATATATATATATAAATATCTTAGTAATATATATATATTTATGTGTATATATATATATATATATATATACATGTACATATAAATGTATATAGATATACCAAGATGTTTGCGACATGAAAAGGTTACACTTCTGCTTGATCTGTAACATTTCCATTACAATTCATACGACACACCCATTTGCAAATGGTTGTTGTCAGTCTTTATATGTCCCATTCGTAGGGCATAATAGCTCTATAGTTCTATTCTTTTTATACCCCACCACAAGGACGTACTATTGATGTACCCATTGTATTTCTTCCCCAAAGGCCAGGGTGATGTGCTGCTACTAGATCTGCGCGACTTCTTCTCGCATCTGTACGTCCTGCTGCTCTCGTTGCCTAGCAACACGGAGCACATGCGCACGGTGCTGGAGTGCTTTGACTATGTAAGGGGACAGTCACACATGCTGACACTCGAGCGAGTCGCCAGTTTTGTCAAACGGCTCGTAACTGTGGCTCTGGAGGTGCCCTCGGGCGGTGCTATTGCTTTGCTGGCGTACGCCTATCAATTACTACTGGTAGGTGACCGCATATTTATGCATATATATATATATATATATCTTTGTGTGTATGTGTATGCGTAAGTAAGCACCTGTCTCGCTACTACGCCATCAGCAACGTATACTAATACAAATATACTAAACCACATGCACCAGCCTCATACGGTGTATAGCACGCAGTGCTACAGCCCTGTACAGCCGTCTCCTAGGTGACGTGCATCTCAAATGACTCGCCCTGCAGTACCTACCTACCTGTTCTTACCCACGTACCTACCTACCTGTTCTTCCTACCCCACCAACACCCCTCAGAAATCTCCGCGCGCGCAAGTGATGCTTGACAACGACATCGTTGGCAACGGCCGCTTCATCCCGTTTGCCACAGATCCCGAGAACGCCAACGCCACCTCTTGCCCACTGTGGGAACTCATACCCCTGAGTAACCATGCACACCCCATCGTGGCCATATACGCACAGGAACTACGCAAACTAGGCGGCGGAGAGGTGTGTTGCGTGTGTAGGGTAGGGTAGTGGGCCGATTGTGTGTGAAGGGCTCGCTGGCAGTGGACTACAGTGTGGTGAAAGGACTTGTATGAGCGCGTGTGTACAGCATTTGGAGTCATGAGAAGCGTGTGATGGGGTTATGTAACTATGGCAACCCTATTGGCACAGACTACAATGTATAAGGGACAAGTGTAGCACAGCAATTAGCGTTTCATAGTTTATTAATATTCAGTAGAGCACAGCAATAAGCGTTTCATAGTTTATTAATATTCAGTAGAGCCCAGCAATAAGCGTTTCATAGTTTATTAATATTCATTAGAGCCCAGCAATAAGCGTTTCATAGTTTATTAATATTCATTAGAGCCCAGCAATAAGCGTTTCATAGTTTATTAATATTCATTAGAGCCCAGCAATAAGCGTTTCATAGTTTATTAATATTCATTAGAGCACATTAATAAGCGTTTCATAGTTTATTACATATGGCAACCCTATTGGCACAGACTACAATGTATAAGGGACAAGTATAGCACCGATTAGCGTTTCATAGTTTATTAATATTAAGTGAAACGCACAGCGCAAGGTGCAGCATGACTGTAACAAAATATAGTCAGCCAGTAATTGCGTCCAGGTTTGATGTGTCAGAACACTTGGAACATTGCGCATTGTGTTTTCATATTCCATATATATACCTACTGCAACTATTTACCTACTTCATATCTATACCTACTGCAGATGGGAAGCGGGCGTGAGAACACACACCACGCCATGCCGCCCGCTCTTAGAACGTCGCCAATGAATCTGTACCGCATATACGACACCAGCCAAGGCGGGTTTAATCCGCCCATCCAACAACCGAAGGCCCATCCCATCACAAAGAACTCCAAAGAGGGCGAGGATGTATACATGAAGCCATCGGGCGTACCATCTGTGTTTGAGTGCTAAAAGTGGAACATAGATGTATGTGTTTGGCAATCGCTACGGTATATGACATGTTTATACCTGTGCTTTGCTATAAGCTATAAGCTGTACATGTGATAAATCGAGAGCCCATAGATGTTTCAGCGAGCGCAGAGACACACCAGTAATCAGCACGTAAACAGCGCGTATAAAATAAATGTATATTTAAGTGTAAAACGCATTGCTAACGTGCTCACCGGATGCGATACCACGGTACGGTCTGTACTACGAGTGCACGACTATGTAAATAGACAGTAGAGCTGTACACAGTACACGTAGGTCGTATGGTCGCGAATTCGCCCTTCTATGAATTGGATATCCGGAATATCAAGTATTGACCAATCGGAGTGCAGAGAATCGAAATTCAGATGAAACAAGCAAGTCACTCGTTGATAGTATATGTGCACACTTCAACATGATCTAATCAGAAGTTAGCTATAATAAGTTAATAGCCCTCACATTGTCACCAATGTATCTTTTAAAATGTCCTATTTCTCTTGAAATGTATCGAGGAAATTGTTCCTATTTGGCTTCAATTCATATTTATTTACTGTTTATTGGTAGTTAAATGATCTGGGAAATAGGGAATGGGGCAATGGACCCATGGCCCCACTCACACTGGGCAGTGGTATAGTTTTATACTTGATGTGATGTACAGTAATACTCGTCGAAGAAGTAGGATGTGGGACTCCCCAATATTAATATATTATTGGATATCAATTGAGCCAAAGTACTCCGATATTCAGATCAGCCGGACTTTGGAAAACCGTTTTCAAGAACGTTAGTGGCCTAAAATCAAAACAAAACAGGGAGTACTTTTTATATATTTTTGGGATTATTTTTATAAAAAAACAAAAAAAACGACAACAACAGCCTCAGGCCGTCACCCCGCAGTCCCATGGACTATGTCTATACGACACTCGTCACTATAAAATTATTAATACCCGAGCCCTATTATTCCTATGTACATGAACATTATATTCTATATATAAATTATTGCGGTTACTAATGAAATCACAAAACAGGACAAAATCCCTTGGACCTGAAATTTACAACAGAACGCGACAAACCCAAATTCAACATTTTTGAATGTATAATTTCGAGGGCTGTGTGTTGAATTACAGTGCAATTGTGTAAACCAAACGATCTAACATAGTCTTCTTTTCTTTTTGTTGTAAACGATATTTTTTATAATATTCCGATGTATGGATCCACAAATTCACGCTCACAGGTTTAACAGAACATTGGCTCTCTCTAGTCTGAGGCGTTGTATTCTATTTCAGGTGATAGGTGTAAATTATGTACCGGAAACTGATACTTGACTGTTGTTTCGGTAAAGATTTTTTTTGCGGAGTGTACACGCTTAATAGTTCGGTACTTGGGCCAAAGTCGCCTTACGTGGGCCCATAAATATCGACCCTGCCTTTGCGAATGAATCGGATACGGTTTTAGACACGGCTCAGGCGTTAAAACTTTTATAATAACGGGTGTCGTATAGGGATAATATTATTTATTTCAAAAATGGCAAGTATGTATGATACAATGTATGAACATATGGAATGGCTCTCATAGTCGCTGTAGTGGTTCAGGAAAGATTGATGGGAAGAAGTGGTCAGTAAATTCCCGTTTGAAGCTTGGGCCAAGTGAGTCGACAATGGAAGATATGTGCTGAGTCAATTCGGGCCGGTGTTGACAAAATACTGTTACTATCGAATGTTCCATATATTCGCTTGCTGACCTACTAAGTAGAGTACCCACCTCTGTGGTACGGATCGGGTCGTATAGGCAAAGACCTACTGTATTAAAGAAAATCAGGTGAGATATAAGCCTCAAGACCGTCAGAAATTGGGACCACGTTTTCATCAAAATATTTTTTATGTTCATCAAAACACACACACTTTGGCGTGCGCGCGTACAACCTATGTTACTGTGCATATTTCGATCTCTTTCAAACTGAATGAACTGTGCTCGTTCAGAATATCGCATTGAATCAATCGTAATAGGCAGCTTTAAATCGGTTTAGTGCTTTTCAAGTTTTGATCGACACACATCACGATGGGCGTTAAAGATCTAATGCGCTATGTACGTCCGTATATGATCGACCTAGACTGTAAAGACACAATAGGGAGTGTGGGAATCGATATGTCCTTTTTAATTCATACTCACCTATCGTTACACGCAAAAAAATATAGTCCTATACAAAGACTGGGATCAATTCTTATCACACATTGAAGGATGCATCACTCTGATCATCGAATGGGGAAGTTTGACCCATCCCCCGATCTGCGTCTTCGATGGCCACCGTATTTCTGGGAAGCTCGTTAATGAAAGTCGATCCACCAAGCGAGCAGAAAAATTAGAGTTGGTGAAACGATTTGCAGAGGGGGAAATGAACAGAGAGGAACTGGAATCATTTCATTTATAGGCTTTTACCCTAAACTCTAGTGCCGAACATGCGTAGGGTCACAAAATCTTGAAGCTGCGCTCTTCATTATGAGACTTTTGAAGCGGATGGGCATTCACTTTATTATGTCACCCACTGAAGCAGGGAGAGGAATTTAGGACCGGACCAGAGGACCGGACCTAGGGGATTATTTGAGGACCGGACCAGAGGACTGGATCTAGGGGACTATTGGAGGACCGGAACAGAGGACCGGACCGATTAGTGGAATAGAGAATTTAATAAGATAAAAGTGATGACTCATACGAAACCATAGAGCCGGGTATTTTCACATAACCCGATGGTAGAGAAAGTCTCGTTCCACATAGGATCGTGATTAATAAATATAACAGGCGCGCCATTCTGACTGAGTTCACTTATTTCAGACTTAACACTATTTATTAGGTGTGACTTGATTTTGACCACAAGATACTGTGGCGCGAGTACTGACGGAAGTAATACAAGTCAACAATATGTTTTTCGGCCAACCTGTTTATGATCCTATATGGCATAAGTTCATAACTTTTGCCAATGACATACCAGGATGGATGTTACAAAGAATAATTGACAACGGCTTTCCAGACAGAGATACTATGTGGCCAGATATTGTCCTGGTGAATCCTCCTGTTGCATGTCGATGGACAGAAGGATATTATGATGTTGTGCCACATCCAAGCTGTCCTAAGCCTTCGCCGTACTTACCCTGGGTAGAAGCACATGAATCGTTGCCATATCATGATATGCGATCAGTTGATCTTCGTCGGTACGCCATATCTGTGGGTATTACAATACCTGAAGGAATCAATCACTTGGAACTTATTCAACGTTTGAACGTACATGACTCCAGCTGAAGGAATGTATTGGATGGCCCATCTGAGATTCAAGAGAACCCATCGGAGCTTCTGCGCGAATGCCTTGCACGTCAAAAAACACTTTTAACCCAACTCGAGACTGCAGATTTTCAAGAATATAAACAAGCCACTCTTAAACACAAAAAGGTATATATAGAATCGTGGGTCATCGCAGAATATTTAAATAAACCCAAAGCTTTATCTGTACGTTCGAAGGTGCAGCAAGAAAGAAGAACTATTTCTCTCTTCACTGCGCTGGGGAAGCGCATTGGAGATTCAAACTCAGAGGAATATATCTATTGCTACTACGTGGGAGCAAGTGTTAGTCGCTCGATGACTAAAACAGACATGAATGTATTGCTCGTGCTTCAGATATGTATCCAGCCGAATACTAATGAGCGTATCGCGGTCATCATTGAACATGCTGAGTGCATGTTGACTGATAAAACATTGCGACAAGGGAACAAATAAATGGGTACAAGACCTTGTCACTATAGATACAACTGCGTCCATATTAGAGCCGCATTAGAAAGAATGTTTGAGATTGGGTCTAAAGGTAGTACCGGTGGCGATAATATATGGCGCAGCAAAACAAGAATAGCATCAATTAACGCTAATATTCAATTCTCTAACCTGTTACATGATTTCCACGACTGTGGTGATCAGGATATTGCGGTAGCAGCCGCACAAACATGCTACGATGTCACCATTGAACTTAAGACCGCAACCCATAGATATTTCTGAAGAAAGCATGCTAAGAGAGTTAATAATGCGATATAGAACTAAACGACTTAAGAATGAAAGCAACATTACACAAGAAAGAGGACTGAGGATAGATTGTTTATTACTTTATGATCGACAAGGTAATAAATTATAGTTTAAGCTGAGAACAAAATTCATTTGAATATTTGTTATATATACCTTATAATCTAAAACTCTACCATACTATCGATGCCACCCACATTATCCACGGCAGTGCCATCAGTCGATGTCACCCTGTTCACTCCAAAGCACTTCTCTAAATCTTTGTCTCTCCTAGTCATACTTATCAGCCAGTTATGACTTCGTGGTTTAAAGTTGACGAAACCACGCACACATTGTGCTTCTTTGTCAGCAAGCACCAGCTCAGAGGCCGTGATATACCGCTGTTCAGTGTCAAATGCCGAATAATTTTCTAACTCCTCCATCGTGCGCTCAATATTACACCGCTCCCGTGCAACGTTGCGATCCGCAACCATACGTCTACGTTCAAATACAATTTGATTGTTCTGTTTTTTCCTTGGTGTGATTACACATACATCGTTCATTTCTAATTCATATCTATCCGTCAACCCTTTGTCGTACATGTACACAACTGGATTCAATACACACCTGAGTGTAGCACCATATTTAAGATAAGAATGCATACCATTGTCCGTGGCTGCACCGGAGAATCCAGGAGATATGTGACAAATATATGATGGTGTGTCTGTAATAACATGATGATGTGTCTGTGATGTTTCATGGTCTCATGTTTTTTTGTATTGGAGTGGCTTGCTACATGTAGCGCTGGACACTGCGCGTACAAATCTTCAACAATTCGTTCGGTAGCATCACCTATATAAACTGCACTGCTTTGAATCCCCAATGAATACAAACTGTTCAAATGGGGTTAACACACGCGAACCAGTACGATTACCTGGTACGAAGCTGCTAGTTGAACTTTGTGATGACAGACTATCGTCTTCGTCATTGAATTGCTGACTCTTTGATATGTCTTCGCCGAGTACTTCCTTACTTCTTTTCACGCATTCAGGGTCCCACAACTGTAAGCTTTCACATCTTTCCCTATAATTAATTATTTCGAATAGTAGTTCTACTAGTACGAAACGTTTCTCACCAAGATACTTTAAGCATTTGGCTTTACTTTGCTTACAAGTATTAATAAACACGGTTGGGTTGTGTGTGAAAACAGCAGTCTGCATTCATGCACTCACTTGCATCTCATGTATTGTGCGGTGAAAGGGAGTCATATTAGTTTGTTCACCACTAGACGATAGTATTCCATTGCTGCGTAAGAGTTTAATACATTGTCGATCGGAGGGTGTTGTTGTGTATCGATTGATTGACTGAAGTTGCAAGTGAGTTGGTGTAAAGGAAGGCATTGCTCCTGCCATTACAGACTTTTGCTGTTGATTACTGTTAATTTGACTGGGATGAAAGTGGTGATATGCTATACGGTACTTGACTTTTGATGTAGGACCTCCAAGATTAGTGATAATCTCTTTTTTCTTACGTGAATCGCGAACTAATATATCCAACCATGCTAATGCTCGTTTCTTGTTCTTCATTCCACTGGGAACCAAAAAATATCATCCGAGACGTAGGTCTTCACCACATACTTCGTCGTCATTAGTGCAAATACACTGCACTCTGGCACGCTCACCTTGTACTACCTTCAATATTGCACGATCGGATTCCCATTCATGGGCAAGTTTAAATGATGCATTAGGACCTGCGTGTATACCGTTTCCCCTATTCACAAGTTGATGTATCGGAAAGTGCCTAGCATTTATAAAAGCATTGTTGTGCGAGGTCTTTCTTTTATCTATGGCCTTCTGCCATGACGATTCATTGCCATTGGGTTGTAGTATTCGAATCCATCGTCGTGCAAGAGCTTCATTGCTCAGGGGTAATCTAATCTTACGGGATGTGAGAGTCAGACAAGTTTTCAAATCACAAATACACTTCTGTCACAGCACGTTCTCCCTTCGATTTACGTTCCGCGAACTTCTCATGCTATATATTTATAATTGTGTTCGTGTGCACGCCAAAGTGTGTGTGTGTGTGTGTGTGTAAATTGTTTGTATTTGTGTGAACATAATATTTTGATTAAAACGTGGTCCCAATTTCCGACGGTCTTGAGGCTTATATCTCAACTGATTTTCTCTAATGGTGCATAGCAGTAAGAACCAGGTCGTTCCCAGGGACCACATACTGGGGGTCACAACATTTTTTCTATTCATCCAAAATCGATTTTGAGAGCAGTTTTGGGCTCTGCGCAACCTATTGATCGATAATATTCGGCTAAAGTTTTGGTGCAAACCCATAGCCTTCTGAAAATAGAACAAGCCAAACATCCTCAAAAGGCATGGCAGAAATTGGTTCCTAGCAGTTTTCGATTTTTTTCCAAAAAAACAAATTATAAATGCATGCTTGTCTGATCACACAAAATTTGCACTGAAAACACTATGATGGTTAGATAATACCATTTTGTAACAAGAGTGTGCGTGTTTAATGTATGTATTTGCTTAGGATTGATCCTCTCTTAGCGCTAAAAGTAGCACATCATGTTCCTGGCGAGCTATAGGATTCAGCAATGTTCTACCGATGCGCTCTACCATATCGACCTTTGAACCTAAGGTAAGGTCGAGTCGATTACACAATTTGCGCGCATCGTCGATCTTCAAAGCTAGTACTGAACCTAGGTGCACAGCCTGTAGTTTCTCTAATAGAATACATCGACTACGTAGTAATTCTATATCGCCCCCAAGTAAGACAGCACCGACACTTCTCAATATTTCTTTACACCTATCCGTCATAAATACTTGCCATTTTTGAAATAAATAATATTATCCCTATCCGTCGTCCACTTCCCCGAGTTATCGTGTGTGTACGTAGACCCTTCGGTACCGCGTATCGATGTCGGTCGACCTTTCTTTGTATCTGCCTTCACTATACTAAGTGTAACCATAGTAGCCGCACATTTGCGATTAAGCAACAATGACATATTATTGCATGCCACATTGTAGAGTGTGTTCAATGTTGGTTTAACAATAGTATCTGATCGATCTGAGTCGCAGTCTAGACATCGATCACGTAAAGGCATCAGCATACGGCACAAATTGATTCTCTTTCGCAGGAACGTCTTGATCACGCGCAGTCCCACACGACTCGCGCTCGTGGACTCGTTGAATTGTCTCAACATTTTTTTGTCTGCAACAATTACATCTACAACATTCAATACAAGCCCAGACATCACCACCATCAAAGCAGTCGGCCACGATAAGCCCTTACGGTCTAACTCAGCGATGAGACTTTTCGAATACTCTACAAACATCTGATCATCACTATCTAAGCCTTTTCCTTTGGTAACTATTTATATGCACGTACGACATTTCACATTGTAATTTTTTATCCACTTATGTGCAACGTATCCTGCGATGTATGGCTATGTTATATCCTTGAGTGATTTGTGAGCTAACTTAGGGTCGTAGTTGAAAAGGCTCTTCCAAAAATAATTCAATGTGTCAATCTTACTTTGTTCTAATGCACTGGTCTTCTCATGTATTCCTTCGAAGAGCTGATTATAGGCTTCCCTATTGTGACTGAAATCGGGGTTTGCACATATGTCATATATCGCACGTATAAGCAGTGTTCTTTGTGCGTACAAATACGCACATATATCTAAGTGTGAGTTACCTCCTGCCATAGCACGAGCTATTGAAAAGCTCATCTCTATGGGGTCATTATTAATACGACCCGGAAGTACTAACTTGAACCCCTTAGAGTTTAAAAGATATCGTTTACATGCTGCCAAGCCACGTAGACTATGTGATAGAGTAAAAAAGGTCTCCTGCGTCAGACCATCCTTCAATGGCTTACGACCCCGTCTCTCTACGTGTGCACTACTCAAGTTTGGCGTAGCTGGATCATCATTTACCAATGTTCCATTGCTGACAGGTGGATTGTTTGTAGAATTTGTTTGCATAGTAAATGGAGTGATTGTGACGTCGATTCCCAGGCTTTGTGCAATACCTACACTGTTCACACTTGTATGATCAGGCGTAAGCTTCAGTTCCGAATTTTCGCCGGAGTGCATTGCTTATCTCTGGTGAAAAGAGGAACAGTGCTGGTCGCACCTGCTGCCTCTCCAGATTGCTAGGCCACACTGTGACCCTATTAATTCTCACTGGTGAGAATAGCGAACTTTTGTACTTGTTATAAAGTTGACGAACCCATACGATATCGCACGTACCCTTAGGAAGTTTATACCCAGTCGACAAACCCATTTCTGGGCACTTAAAAACATGCCCTTTACGAGATTGTTTCGTATACACTTCACTATGTGTATCAAACAAAACATAGGAAACAACTCCAGCCCATGTACGTTCACAGATGTTGGCAAGCGCTGCTGCGGGAGGGCTAAGCGTCGCCCAGGAGGTTCCAAATCTGTATTCTGTAAAACCAATAAACGCATGGCCTTTTTATTTACACTGCACCCGTCGAAAATGACAGGGCAGATCATTGCACCAGCTTTTTGACTTTTCGCGATGGCTTCTGTTGCATACGCAAATAGTTTCTCTGTAGAAATACGACCTCCGGTCAGTCTAAAATATCAAGATCAAATGAGATAACACATTGATTTTTATTTGTATTTAAAATAATTTAATACGTTTTTCTCCAATATTTCCAAAGTGTTCTAAATTCACTTTGATGGCTCCAATAGCCTGAGTATTTGGTATGACTCATTTACTTGGACCTATTTGAGACGATAGTAGATGTAAGATATTATAAACTAAATTTTATAATCTCTGAACTACTACTTACAGGCTTTGGTCTTCCCGCCAATCTCCAAAATCCAATAAGTCTTTTTCTTTTTTAACTTTTCTTCAGATGTAATATTATTTATTTTAGTTAATGTATTAACATGACTTACGTTCTGATGACTATCTACAAATTAGACATGTGGTCATGAACACCTAGTACTTCTAGTGAAAATTATTCAATAAAGAACAGCTAAAGGTACGTCCTGTGTGATCGAGAATATTAAGGCTCTTACCAAGAGGCAGTCCGGATCATTCTTACACAAGCTACCACTGCTAAATCCTACCTGACTTAAATTGTGTCTTAGTTTATATAACATAGTTTAAAACATAGAAATATCCATTGAAGTTTACATATTTTTCAGTTATTTAGTAGTTACCGTAGTGTACTGCTCCTAGACTGTCTAATAACTGCTTACTATCCAGCGACAGGACTGCAAGTATTATATACTACCCCATAGTGGCTAATACTACCCTAAAGTTAGCTACCCGCTAGTTACTATACCTAGACTTTATTAATTTTCCTATTCTTGAGCTATTACTATGGATAAAGGAAATTCAAAAGGCAAGGGAGCCGCCAGCTTTAAGCCTGCTAAGCCTGATGAGGTTCCTGAGGTTACTGGGGACGCTGGTCTGTCTGGTAATGAGCCTGCCGTTGAAGCTGTAGAGGAAGCCGTTTCTGAGCTTGGTTCTGAGGAAAACTCTGAGGATGACTCGTCGGACCCTAAAGCCTTGGAAGTGGAGGTCTCAATTGCCGCAGAAAGGCTCGCCAGCGTCCGTGTGTCTCCTAGTAGTGTAGCCCAGGGCCTCAGCTCGCCATCTGACCGCGAAAAGTCAGGTCCGTCTGGTACTGAGCCTGCCGTTGAAGCTGTAGAGGAAGCCATTTCTAAGCTTGGTTCTGAGGAAAGCTCTGAGGATGACTCGTCGGACCCTAAAGCCTTGGAAGTGGAGGTCTCAATATTCGCGGAAAGGCTCGCCAGCGTCCGTGTGTCTCCTAGTAGTGCAGCCCAGGGCCTCAGCTCGCCATCTGACCGCGAAAAGTCAGATATTGGAAAGGCTATATCTCCAGAACAAGTGGAGGAATCGTCTCCAGATCGACGGTTTATTACTACTAAAAGTCAGCCCAATCCACCTATTAACAAAGATAGTGGCGTTCCATTTCGTGAAATTTCATTGAATGCCTCGCTACTGAATGCCTCGCCACTGAATGTTGGGGACGCCATAACTCGACAACGAGTGGTTGGATCTTCTCAATCTCGACCCCATTTGAGCCGCAAAGATGAGCCTTTAAAGGAGTTAGCCGCTGCCGCAGCTTCTGACCCTTCGATCATATCCCACGTGGCCGATATTCTTCCTATATCAAAGAAAAAAATATTCCGAGCCGGGTTTCACACCTGGGACCTACTGGTTTACCAGCCAGCAGGGTTACCACTGAGCCAGTTACCGCTGGTGAAGTGGGTAAAATCTCAATATTTAATCTCTATAGCTCGGAAGCTACAATCGACCATCCTCTCGACAAACCTAACCCTGTCAGAGGCTATGATCGTATGGAAATCGATGAGGCTTACCACCCTCATAACATCGATCCTCATTTACCATCTAACCCTGGTAATCACGACTTTGACAATCGTTATACTAGTACCTCACTAGAGAGTACCCACTTTAGCTCTGAAGACGAGGAAGTGAGAACCAGACAACATCGTCTCAGGCCATTACGTTCTGGTATGCAAGTCCTTGAGGACC